GCTTGCCTATTGCAGATTCAGTCTTCCCAGCCTGGTGCAGGTCTACAATTTTGTTTCTGGTGTCCTCCGACAGCTCTTTGGTCTTCACCATAGTGGAGTTTGGAGTGTGACTGTTTGAGGTTGTGGACAGGTGTCTTTTATACTGATAACAAGTTCAAACAGGTGCCATTGATACAGGTAATGAGTGCAGGACAGAGGAGCCTCTTAAAGAAGAAGGTACAGGTCTGTGAGAGCCAGAAATCTTGCTTGTTTGTAGGTGACCAAATACTTATTTTCCACCATAATTTGCAAATAAATTCTTTCCAAATCAGCCAATGTGATTGTCTGGATTTTTTTTCTCATTTTGTCTCTCATAGTTGAGGTATACCTACGATGCCAATTACAGGCCTCTCTCATCTTTTTAAGTGGGAGAACTTGCACAATTGGTGGCTGACTAAATCCTTTTTTGCCCCACTGTATTTAAAAGTTGCAGTCACTATAAAAGATGTAAAAAAAGGCAGATTTGCCAGACAGGAAACTGGCCGGATGTGACGTTACTTGAAGTGCCCGCCTAACACATCTCAACCCTCCCACAGGGTGTCTTCAGAAGCTCACATTTGGATGTGTATCTGTATATGTTGTATATTTGACACATATTTATTAATACCTTACCTCACCTTCAAATGAGTCTTAAGACCTTGTAGCAAATAACAGAATATATTGTCAAGTTATTATCAGCTGCACAGGGTATAACAGTGAAAAATGTAACAGCATATACAACACACCGTTTCTTGAGATATTTATTGTACTGCAATAAACTTAAATCTTACTAGGATAAACTGTAGCTCTCCTCACTAAATGATCAGCAAAAGACAACCAAGATAGGTACCAAATACAGTACAGTTAGATGCTAAGTTGCTCATGGGCTCTTGCAATGATGGACCTAAGCCTAGGCCATTTGTAAAAGAAGATTGCAATGCATTGGTAACTGCCCTTGGTAGTAAGTGAACTATGTACAGTCCTTAAATTACATATAGCCCAAACTAGATTTCCCACCATTCAGTGTTCCATGCTTGAAAAATCAGGAGCTCAAAGTCCATTGAAAGTTCCATCTTATGACAAAAAAAAGTGAACTGCATTCAGGCAATTTGAAAAATAACAATTCACTATAGAATCTGAATAGTCCATTAACAGAGATTCTGTTACATTGCCTAGAATTTTATTATTATTATACAGGATTTTTATAGCACCAACAGTTTGCGCAGCGCTTTACAAAATGAAGGTAGACATTACAGTTCCAATACAATTTGGTGCAAGAGGAAACAGAGGTCCTTGCTCGTTAATAGAATGGCAGGCCAGTCATCTTCCCTCTCCTATGTCCTCCAGTGTGCATGCTCCTTCCCGCTTCCTTTTATCCTTGGGGTTCAAGAAAGCAGCACTATTCATCCAGGAGTGAGCTGCGGAGGACATGGAAACTATGTTGTTGTTGGGCACACACAGGGACATTGGCACACACATTTACTAGAGCAGATTTGACGTCCTGTCCTAGAGAAGCACCAGGAAGTTAGAGGAAATCTGTCAAAGTAAAAGAAATTTCCTTTTTAGACAGCTGTCCAAGGAACAGTAATCCTGTCTGAAAGATTTCTGCTTGTTCTGGGGTCCGCTCTAAAATATTATATTTCCTCTCACTTTATTTTTCAATGACAATGGTCAGCAGTACAAATAGATGGGTGAACATAACATAGTTCATATATAGCATTATATCGCAAACAAAAAGGAATTATAAACCAAATATCATGTCCCTTGTGAGCTGCTATGACCAAATTACACAATTTACAAATATCAGCTGCTGGTGTGTCCCCCTGAAACGGGCTGCAGGGGGACACACCACGGGACTGAGGGACAGGTAAGTGGCTGTTTTTTTAAAAGTCAGCAGCTACAGTTTTTGTAGCTGCTGACTTTAATTTTTTGACAGGGTGAGTGGAACTCTGCTTTAAATGCGAGTGCTTTTACTCCTGGAAACTGGAGAACACTATTAAGTTAGGTATGCTGGGACAATGCTATGTTTTGCAACATCCAATACAAAAAAAATTCTAAAGAAGATTTGATTATTCACTTAAACATAGAGGAATATTCATAAATCAGTGAATGAGTGCAGGTAAATCTTCCTGCTTATTCACATGCTTTTGATTGCACCTGAGATAGTATTATTGTAGTCAACAGGGAATGCAGAAGCACAGACACCACTTAAAGCAACACAAAAACAGTTTGACTTTGTTCAAAAGTAGCTTAAAGCTCCGTTCACACCAATGCGCTTTTTAGTGCTTTTTGCAGAAACGCACTACAGTCCATTTAACATGGTTTCCTATGGAACATGTTCACATCTATGCTTTTTTGAGCTGCTGTGTTTTTGGAAAGGGTCAGGGACTTTTTTTAAAGCAGAAAGCAGCATTATTTCCACAGTAGAGTTCAATAGAGAAGCTGCTGAAATGCATGGTAGTGCATTTTTGCCACATTTTGCATTTTTATTTTGCCTAGCAACAAATAAAAATTCCACTGTAACAAAAAAAGAGAGCTGAACAAAACACAAAATGCAGTAAGAACGCGTCAAAAATACATCAAAAATGTGTCAAAAAACACGTGTAGAAAAATGCAAAGCAAATTGCAAAAAGTACTGGAGAAAGCATCAAGTGCAAAATGCATATATGTGAACCAAGCCTTAAGGCAAATCAAAGCAACTCAAAAGCTTGTGAAAGTCTCCATATTTAAAAGATAATGCTATTACATGTTGGAGAAGACATTTTTTCATGTTTGTGGATAAAACTAGCCATACATACATTACGTAGGGGCATCGCCACTGCACAGACACCCATCCCACTTAGCATACCTTATACTAAACCTCCCTCAACACTTTCCTCTTTTGACCTTGCTACTACTGAAGAGGTCACTTAGGTTTTCTCAGAAGCCCATATCACTACATGCCCCCTGGATCCTGTCCCCTCTCAACTACTACGGTCACCCTCTTCTTCTATCCTATGCTCCCTCACTCACGTCTTCAATCTTTCCCTCTCTACTGGTGCCTTCCCCTCCCCTCTAAAGCATGCGCACATCACTCCCATACTTAAAAAGCCCTCCCTGGACCCCACCAACCTGAACAACTGAAGACCCATCTCCCTGCTGACATTTACCTCTAAACTCCTAGAACGCTTAGTCTACAATCGCCTGAGCTCCCACCTCACTGACAACAACCTTCTTGACCCTTTACAGTCTAGATTTCGCTAACTACACTCCACTGAAACTGCCTTACTAAAACTCACTAATGATCTACTAAAAGCTAAAACCAATAGCCACTACTCCGTACTCTTACTACTTAACCCTCTCTGCAGCTTTTGATACGGTTGACCATCCCCTCCTCCTCAAAAAACTCCACTCTCTTGGTCTCAGAGACTCTGCTCTCTCCTGGTTCTCCTCCTACCTATCGCAGCACTCCTTCAGCGTTACTTATAACTCTGCCTCCTCCTCTTCACTCCCTCTTTCTGTAGGGGTCCCTCAAGGTTCTGTCCTTGGACCCCTTCTCTTCTCCATCTACAACACCTCCTCCCTTGGTCACTTAATAAACTCCCACGGCTTTAAGTACCATCTCTATGCTGATGACACACAAATCTATCTTTCTACCCCTCACCGAACCCCTTCAGTCTCCTCTCGCATCATTAACCTAATAAGCGACATATCCGCATGGATGTCACTCCACTTCCTCAAACTCAATCTTTCCAAAACTGAGCTCTTAGTATTCCCTCCAACCTGTGCCCCCTCCCATCAAGATCAATAACACAATCATCATTCCCTCCCCTCATGCCAGGGTACTAGGTGTAATCCTAGACTCCCATCTGTCCTTTCACCCCCAAATCCAATTACTGTCCAAATCTTGTAGACTTCACCTCCACAACATCTCCAAGATACGCCCGTTCCTAACCTCGGAAAACCACTAAGCAACTTATTCATTCCCTTGTTATATCTCACCTTGACTATTGTAACTCCCTCCTCATTGGCCTACCTAATCGCAGGCTATCCCCTCTTCAGTCTATCATGAATGCTGCTGACAGACTTATCCACCTTACTAACCGTTCTGAATCTGCCACCCCTCTCTGCCAATCCCGCCACTGGCTTCCCATTGCCCAACGGATAAAATTCGAAACAATTAACAATATTGTATAAAGCCATTTATAACTCTGCCCCAAATTACATCAACGATCTTGTCTCTAAATATTACCCAAACCATACTCTCCGCTCCTCGCAAGACCTCCTGCTCTCTAGCTTCCTTGTCTCCTCCTCCCATGCTCGTCTCCAGGACTTTTCCAGAGCTTGCCCAATCCTCTGGAACTCTCTACCCCAATTTATCAGACTATCGCCTACTCTGATCACTTTTAGGCGATCTCTGAAAACCTCTCTCTTCAGGGAAGCCTATCCTGCCCTCAGCTAATTATGGAATCTTCTACTCTTCCAACCAGTCCATCCCCGACAGTTACTACCTTTTGTACCACTAGCCCCTCCCTCCTAGATTGTAAGCTCCAAGGAGCAGGGCCCTCCTTTCCCTCTTGTATTGAACTGTATTGTTGCTGTATTGTCTCCCGTTATATTGTAAAGCGCTGAGCAAACTGTTGGCCCTATATAAATCCTGTATAATAATAATATACATAGATTATTTTCATTCAGCCTGCAGTCTGATTCCACCATCCACATTATACAGCGCAAATGGATGACTCTCCCACTGTGGATATTGATTTCTGACAGCGCAGCTGTCAGCTGTCAGAATACCCAAACTGTGGCTAGATCTGATTGGATGAAGACTATGTGCAGCCAACAATTTGACATCCAGCATCTTTGATTTTTTTAATTAAAGGATGCCAAGTGGTAGGATGCTCACATAGTGTATGACCATCTTAAAGTGTTACTAAACCCAAGACCCTGCATTCTCTATTTCTGGTCTCTCTCAGTACACAGGACATGGAAGTGCAATTAATTTAGTAAATATAAACTGCTAAATACCTTTTCTCATCAGCAGTTAGAGCAGTCTTGTGACTTCTATCAATGTTCAACAGAGCACTGGTTAAAGCTTGAAGGAGGAGTTTTCTTCCTGCTCCAGAAGGATGCAAAACCCCTGATCTTTGTCTGCACAGTGCTGATTGGCCCTGTGCTGATCACATGCACCCTCCCAAGAAAAAAAAAAACCTCTAGCAATACACACTTTACTGAGCATGTGAAGAATGGCTACGGGTTCAGTCTGTCTTATCAGGAGATAAGACCTGGACATTTGAACAAGAGGAGGAGCAGAGAAGACAGGATCAAAAGGCCTTTTTACACAATGCAGAGGATTAACCCCTTAGGTTCCACTGTGAGTATAACAAGCATGCTTTACTGCATATACAGACTGATTTTACTGTTGTGGGTTTAGTAACACTTTAAGTGTCCTACAATTTGTACAACGTTTCTGTTGTAGGATTGACAGGTGATAGAGCAGCATCTCTTCCAATTTAACACGCAAGAGTTTAGAGCTTTATTTATTATGCTTCTATTTCCTATAGACAAAAAAAAACAGTATAGTTGATCTTTAGGTGACTTTTCATAGTCATAGAGCAGTTTATCTCAAGGAAGGGGGTGAATGGTTCCAAGGCTGAGATAGCAAAAACAAATATATGTCCCTGCTGTCATCAATCATATCTCATTACAATCTTTTTTACTTAACATAATATCCACCAGTTTTTCTGGTACTTTCGAATTGTTTGAAAATAAAATGGTATAAACTGAAACTTTAAAGAAAACTTTTGGCTAGAGATAAGGCTCAAGAAAAATAAGCAAAATATATCTCACAAACCTCCAAATAACTCCTCGCATTCTCTAGCACCTCTGGCTGACATATTTAATTACAACAAAGCTTGATCCTGGTAGGTCTCAGTAGCAATGAAACTGTTAATCAGACGATGGGTTAAAGCTACAAGGTATTGATTTCAGCTAGAGGGCCCTGAAGAGAAATTTACAGACCAATAAAAAGGATATTAAAAAAGAAGACCAAGAGACTTTAATTTCATCTCATCTCTAACAAACACGATGAGCTTCTATACTATCCAAACTCTTCTTTTAACCTCTTTAAGAAAATACTGAATCACTGTTCTATTGCAGAGCATCTCATGATGGATAAAGTGGAAGATTGTTAAATCAGAGTTTATAGCAGCATCACAAGGGCTTGGTTTCATCTTTGTAGACAACAGGATAAAAGGAACCAACCTCCTCCACAGCCAAAATGCCATATTTTACTGATTGATAAAACATAGGCAAACGTAAAAGTGTTCAGAGGTGGGTAGCTGTGAACCCAGTTGACACGTTAAAGCTGAACTCCTGTCAGCCAGCAAACTCCTCAGTAATCAACATCCTTACATATGTAAGCCTTGCTATCCAGGGGCAGAATGTGGTGGGCACAAGAAACTATTTTACTGCTGATTGGAGTTTAGTTTTAACAGTTTCTTATATTTCTCAGTGATTCCAATACAATCTTTGGACCTAGTCTGGACCACTATAATTATGGATATGTCATACATGGCTGATACCTCTGGAAGCAGAAAATAACTGAAGCAGACTCTGCTACTCCAGTGATCTCCATTTGCTTCCGAGTCCTATGCTGAGTAGTTGGTCTGCTGCATTCTGAATAGAGGAGGCCAGCTCTTCAGCACAGGCACCATTCCAAGAATGATTTGCAGTTTCTAAATGAATGCAAAGCATTCTCTGATGGGATGAGATGGAGAAGTGACCATTTCTCCTCTCCACCTTTTCCAATCAATCAGAGAATGCTCTGTGTTCAATCAGAAACAATTGAGTACTGTCTGTGATACTTTTTTTTTATTTGCACTTACATACAATTTTCAGTCTTTCGAGTTATGTCCCCCTTCTTCACGGTCCAAGCAGTGCTACTTCACAATGTTTTAGCAGAATGTTAAAAAAAGACAATCTCCGAGGAGGAAAAAAATACTGAAATAAATTTGCACAGCACTGGTAATAAATCTAGGATAGGCAGTGAGATATGTCAGAGCAAAAGCTATAGACTGGGGGGGGGGGGGACTTTGACAGTCACAGAGGGGATCATAAAACATCTATATTTAGGCCATTAGCTTTGATGTCAAATATTTATTTTATTACAGGTACTTATATAGCGCTGTCAATTTGCTCAGCGCTTTTCATATATATTGTACATTCACATCAGTCACTAACCCTCAAGGAGCGTACAGTCTAAAGTCCCTAACTTACATTCATACATACACATACTAGGACCAAATTAGAAAATTAGATCCAATTAACCTATCAGCATGTCTTTTGGAGTGTGGAAGGAGACTGGCGTACCCAGAGGAAACCCACACAGGCACAGGGAGAACATGCAAATTCCAGGCAGGTGGTGCCATGGTTCGAATTTGAACCAATGACCCTAGTACTGTCAGGTGGAAGTGTTAACTATTTAGCCACTGTGCTGCCCATAGAGCTATCAGTCTTAGTTCAAAAGTTTCCCTTTTCTGAATAGTTTTGAAATACCCTTTAGCCTGGGTTCACTTTTCTGCAGTGTGGCATATCGCATGTGATTCACACAGGAACCGCACTGCATTCCTGGGCAAATCGCATGCAAATTCTGTGCGGTGTGATTTGAGCCATATATTTTGTATGGCTCAAGTTCTACCGCATGCACACCAAAAAGGTGCAGGACCCTTTTTTTGGTCCGCACTAGAATCGTACAGCATGGGTACTTACACCCATGCAATCCGATTCTGCACATCACACCACGTTTTGCAAACCGATTTCAGGGTGTTGTTAACTTAACATACACACCCGCAATGGTTCGCATGATCAGGGTGCAATCGTGATGTGGTGCAGAATTCCGCACCCCATCAGTGTGAACCCAGTCTAAGAGCTAAGGCATTAAGGTTTTCCATAGTGTGGTCCCTTTGTGAGCAATGGTGTCCCACAGGTGTGAACTCATCTTCTTTATGTTCCTTGTTCTGTGTAAATTCATCCTTGTTCACAACTTTTGTCCTGTTTCGCCAATGTAAGGTCCTTTGCTACATTGTTTGCATTGGATAAGGTATGCAACATTACTGGAGGTGAAGTTGTACTATCCCGTGATATTGAAAGTCCCTTTTGAGTGTGTGACACTTTTGATGGATTAATTTGGTTGCACAGTTTGCATTTTTTTCTATTGCATGGTTTACCTCCATTATTTAATGACTTCATAACCATAACGAATTGAGATTGGGTGGTTGTCTAAATGCCAGTATTGGGGGTTGTTGGAATATTCTTTTCAGAGGTCCATTCTCTGTTATGATGGGTTGCAAATATTTGATTTTTTTTTTCATTCCATCCAGTGCTGAATTGTATGTGGTTACTAGAGGTACACGGTTGTTTGTTTTTTTTTCTTTTGGTATTGGAAAGAGGGTGACTTTGCCCACAGGATTTTATCTTTATCTAAATCACTCCTGGCCTCACATGACAATATCTTTATCCTCCTTTCCCTGAAGAAGGCTAGACCCATCTTTGTTCAATTATCATCCAACCTTAGTCTCTAATTCCTGGGAAAAGGTGCTAGCACACAGCACAAACACGCAAATCCATCTGTATGGCGTTTCTACTTGTGTATACATATTCTCCCTTTCGTTCCCCTTCACACTGGAACGTGGTGTGGCAAACACACTGTGACGGAGGGTAGGCAGGACAGAACACACAGAGTAGATGGCAAATGCACAAAGCTTTATTGAGACAAAAAAGGATGACAGTCACTCAATAGGGGGGTTCGCAGAGAGGGTGACACTCGCCGGTAGGGAAACAGCAAGGAGGGGCTAAAACACTTGTAGTCCAGTATGGGGGGCAAACAAAAAGTCTCTGTAGCAGATTGTAATCCAACAGGGGAAGTAGGGGGGTCAACATGGGAACAGTTCAAGTAAAACAGGGAAAAGCACATGCTCACGGATCCGACAGGGTGCCTGGTCTCCCAGGGATAAGAAAGTAGGATACAGGTACCTGTTGGGGTCTGGACTAGGGGAGTGGCCTCTCCTTTTAGGCTGGCAAGCGATCTCCCCCTAGGCTTGGGGTCTACGGCAGCTGGCAGGTAATCTCCCCTTAGCTGGGGTCTCAGGCAGGTGGCAGGCGATCTCCCCCTAGGCTTGGGGGTCTCAGGCAGGTAGCAGGTAATCTCCCCTTAGCTGGGGTCTCAGGCAGGTGGCAGGTGATCTCCACCTAGGCTTGGGGGTCTCAGGCAGGTAGCAGGTAATCCCTCCATAGCTGGGGTCTCAGGCAGGTGGCAGGCAATCTCCCCCTAGACTTGGGGGTCTCAGGCAGGTATCAGGTAATCCCCCCTTATCTGGGGTCTCAGGCAGATGTGGGCGATCTCCCCCTAGACTTGGGGGTCTCAGGCAGAGTCTGGTCATGAGGGTCCCACTGCAGCTGGGCTCCCTCCGTGACTGCACAGTGGAATGGATGATTGGAGAGCCCGGCATCAGCCTCTTAAAGTGATGCAGGACGCTCTCCGGTCATCCTGGCAACTGGGGGCTGGCCGGGGGCGGCATGCCTCGTCGCCCGGCAACGAGGCACGCCCCCTGGACATGGGCTGCTCTCGTGAACACAGCCTTTGTCCGGAGGCATCCGCAAGCACGGATCCGGAACATCTCTGCAGGGGGTTCGCACCTCTCCACAGAGAGGTGTGAACCTCGCTATCCTGTCCCCTCTGGCCTCGCTGGATGGGGATAAGATAGTGGCAGAGGTAAGAGGGACCGCGCCTCTCATCCTGCGCGGCTCGGCTTCAAAGAGCCACGGCAGGACGAGAAACAGTAGGGGGTCACCTCAGATGCGGGCCAACGGAGGGGGGAGAGCGCCCACTGTGACACACATGTTCTGCGCACATTTCCGATACCACATTCAAAATGCACTGGGTGTGCAGTTTGCTGTGAGTGTCAATAGATTCCTAACGGCACTCAAAATGCTTGCCTATACCGGATCACATGGTACCACAGTGCATTTTTTAAAGTAGTGCATGCACTTCTTTTGTTGCGCTCCAGTGTGCAAGAGCATTCCTTGCTCTTTCAATGTGAACCAGCAATTTCACATCCTAGCCCCTCCTTCTGCCTCTCAATCTGTAACCAGCCACTGTAAAATTGTATTGTACATAGTTCAGTGCCTTTGCTGCTTCTCATCCTGTGACCAGTCAGTGTAGAAATCCATTACAGTCTCTCAGAGCTCAACCCACTTCCTTCTGCCTAGAAATCTTAATTCAGCCAGTCTACAGTCTCTTGTCCTGTGTCCTGCCAGAGCATTACACTG